TCCCATCCTATAAGTACTTTACGTGCTTCATTGGAGAGTACAACTGAATCTCTCTCGAAGCCGATCTTTTCTGTTCAGCTTTATTCCAATGTGTTTCGCTGATTCCGAGCACCTCCGTGTTGTATCTTCTCATTTCCGTAGCTGTTTGACTGGTCCTCTCTGTTTTTCACATTGTCCGAACGTTCCATGTACCTATATTAATTGTCGCTCTATTTGTTAGAATGGACATCGGTCTCGTGACTTCCTAAGAATCTTAGCTTACACTATAAGGCGTCATAATTCTTCTAAATGAAGATCCCTCAATTCGGAGGGAAGAGATTGAATTTTTTGAATTGTTTGTTCTGGTTAATGTTTTTTCCAGCAAGGTTATTTTTCTTCGAGATGGGGTTGCTGACCCCATTCCCAAACCTCCACATTTATCCGGTATTGCGACCGGCAGTAACCCTATGCAGGGTGTATGCGGTGTTCTAAATCATCTAAATGCATCACGGGCAATCTCTAAATTGTGAAAAGGGGCAGATATCTACAGCATAAATATCAGTTGACGATCACTGGAAAATGGAGTCCAGGACCCAGTTAGGTGGTAACTGTTGTTCGGTGGTCTATGCCTCATGAGCGGTAACAGACTTAAGTATGTAACTAAGTAAGCATTTTATAGACATCAACATCCATTTCCATCATCAATCACATTTAAACGTTATTTGGTGCATACGAGGATTAATTTGGTTACGAGTTTAGCAATACTGGGAGTCAAACGTGTTTGATTGATCTGAGAGACGCGACTAAACTAGACTTTACGTTATCATACATGGAGGAAAATAATTAGGATAAAATTCAAGTGATTTCGATAAAATGTCAATAACACGCGTACACGTTGCACAAATTGACTATGAACAACCAACATTCACTACAGAGTGGAGAATGACGGTTTCGAAGACAATCCAATAAAACGTAAAACGTGCGTAAATACCCTGAAACCAACTCTCCTCCACTCCGTACCTATAATTCAAATATGTTTAAGTCCATTGCAGACTGACAGATTTATAGGGTAGGGCGTTTTATCAATCTTATGGAATTCATGAATACACCGTTTAATCTAAAAGTCGAACCCGGTTGATGAGCCAGTATACTTAAACGACATATCTCCAACCGAACACAATTTAGTTGGTCTATTATACACCATTTTGTCAAATAAATGTTTGAGTATGAGAATTCTGTCACGAATTTCGTTCTGTTAATTACCACGTGACAAAATCGCCACTCCGAACACCGACTTATATGACCGTGTTCTCATGCTAAACCAGTGACACGTGAAAACAGTACTAGCAGACTTGTGTCAGCTCTGAAACCCTGTTGGTCCTTCTCGTCTAGCACTGTCAGTTGAGTCCAGAAAGCAATCTCAGCCTCCACTGCATGAATAATATATTTCAGACACACGTAGTTTATGTACAAGCAAACTAGACCGCATCACACAATAAAAATTAACAATTATACAAGATCAAGCCGAAAGTGGCTGTGATTGTGAAAGACTGTAACTAGTATATTGGGAATAACTTAAGAATAGTAAATCGTATAATAATAACAACCAATAGATCAAAGAAATATAAGTATATATAAACTAGTTACTTAACAGTTATACAACAAGAATATATACATAATAACTGTTTATAAATAGATCCCGGAAGTTACCCATAATTTAATTTTCATTGGATGAAACAAATTCATTCTTCAGTTGTTGAAGAACCCATTTTTCGCAAAAGAATCAACTAACACTCAACAAATCGTTTATAATAATAACAAATCAAATCTATTATGAAACTTTCTACTTGCCTTAGAATCACTGAGTTGGTTAAACAGAGTTACTGACTCAGTTTTATGGAGTAAGTAACTGTTTCCATATAAATCAATATGATATAATCATGTAAGGAATGCTTTCGAGCATTCTGACTCAACTATCAAGTAACGGATGAAATCTCGAAACTGAATGATTCACGAACATCGGTAGCTCCGTGTAATGTATGATTAAAAAGAAGTAGTATCCTTTATTTAATTTTCAGAGGATTTAGTCACAATACACAGTATGAATTGGAGAACGAAACACGGATTGGTGTAAATGAAGTAGCATCTTAGGCCCCTTTTCCTTCACACTCCATACAAACGATATTTGTGATTGCTTGTACAAAGTTAAACCCTTTCTGTATGACGACGAACTCAAAGTAGTTCGTTTATTTTTTAGATTACCCATATACTGTATTGCGTCAATGGGTAGCTCAACAAGGTAGCCATATTGTACTTAACATTGAATTCGGAGCTGATCATCGCTTAGTATGGATGGGTTGGATTTAATGATCCCTTACTCGATTTTAACTTTAACAGAAATGTTAAGGTGCTATCTAGTTTACGTTTTGTGGTAGAAATGGAATTCAAAATCACTGCAATTTATTCTCCCCAGAACAGGTCTGAACACTAACTTCTCCGTCCTCCGATTTCTGAGTTGTATTTTGCGTGGCCTCCATGGCAAAGACTTGTACGTTTAGTCGTGCAAAATATGTGCCTGACTACGACTGGAATACTGTAATTTTGTCCAGAGTAGGTAATTAAGTTAGATTCTGTCTAGTCGGCCCGCATACTTCGTATTCTTAAGAGCGATCCCGCTTAAGACCACGAATTCGGATGCACTGGGTCAGGACTTATTCCTTTAAGAAGTTAATGACTTAGACTGAACCTAATCTTTTTCTTCACGACACTAAATAAACTATTTTAAACACCCACTAATGCAATTCAGCCTTCAGAATCAGCGAGTTATGGTGATTTTTCATTCTGAATCTACTTTCTTTATGAGTGGTTAACTTAGAAGTCAATTTAACAGTATAGGAAACAATTCTCCACAATCTGTCAGTGATACAGAATCACCGCCATTGTTTGCACGACGTTGATGATCTCGTCTCTTGTGAAACCGTCTTGAAAATACTTACCCCGGCAAGTATATTCCATTACCCTGATGAAATTACAAGAACCTCATATATATTGTCATTGTTGTTATTTTGTATGCTTATCAGACCTCTCTTCAAACTGGATTTTTTTCCGCTGTTTTTATGACAAGCTTTCATAATGAATCCCTTAGTTTACTCTCGTTTAATCTCAAATCTTATCTCAATTGTATAATTTACTTAGCTATTATAAGAATGTCTGTAGAGTAGCTGGTTGATTACAATCAAATCAGTCTCAATCAGTATGTCACGAATAATCAAATTCACAAACGATGAAAGTTATATTACAGTGAGATTTGTGATGTTGCATTGTATCTGTTTGAAATTCTCTCCATCCCAGATGATTATAAATACCCCTTTCATAGTACTGCAATCACCCGTCTAATATGAATGGATAAAAGGTGATATTATTTCAGACAAATATTTTTTCTCACCAATTCGATACGAATTTCGTCCGGAGTGACAGATGTGTACTTTCGTCAATTGTGATGTTAATATTCCTTGTATCAATTTGGAATCAGCATATAAATGAGTGTGTTTCGGTCTAATGGAGATTCGTTTTGGGGACGTGTTTCGGTGAGTCACTGGATCTTCATTCGCACCAGTCTTCAGTGTTCCTATGTTGGGTCATGAGAATTACAGTGGTTACCGTGCTCCAAGTATGATCAGTAAAACCGTGGATATAATACTTCATCTACACTACTCGTTTACAGAAGTGACGTCCCAATCCTTCTACAAACAAACTGTGGGTTACCAAATACATGTCATTGCTAATCGATCATGACGTTGTAACTATGCCACTTTCTTAGCTCACTTTTTCACCTTACTGAGCTTATTAAAGCGAGATTGAAGACCATTATTATGTGTACTTCGATAACAATTCTGCAGTTCAAACAAATGTCACCTACGATGACCCATTTTACCTGCGACACATTTGTGACAAATGTTTCGTCTAAACGATTTCAGAATCACGTCTTCTCAAATAATGTACACTTACTGTTTTAAGTTCTCCATTCTTTTATGCATCGACCTGATCATGTCTGCAAATAGATCAATTGTAGAAACCATACAGTCATAATAAATTAATATGTTCAAATGATCATCATTGTTTCATATTGTAAATTTGTTTCCCAAACAATATTCCATCGATTAGTCAAATTATTTCAATGTGGATCTGATTGGTTATAGAAATAATGAAACATATCAGATTGGAAGATAATTTATCCGATATCCAGTTTTTCACTTATTTAACACAACAAATTATTTCAATAAAGGATACACCTCAAAATGCCATCTTCATTATAGTAGTTAGATAAAGAAGAAAATCAAACAATGAATGAGACTGCTTACATTACTCAACCTATTCGGACTATTATAACAGTTGAAGGAGCACTTGGTACAATATCCAATATTGCGGCGATCGCCGTAGTGTTCAAAGCACAATTTGGTTCAAAATTTTCTACATTCGTATTTAGAGCTCAACCAATATTTGATTTAAGTGCATGTCTCTCAACAACAGTATATCTTGTAGTTCACTCTATAATGCCTAACAATTATTTGACAGGAATATACATTATTGATTCCCTCATTTGTCATTTTTGGTTTCGAAATGCATCCTTCTGGTTATTTTGCATCCTGAGTGTACAAAATTTAGTATGTTTATCGTTGGATAGAGTGAGTTGTGTCATATTTACTGGGTCAATCAAAGCATATGCGAACAGATTCTTTATACTATACTTCATTTACATGCTCTCTATGGTTTTAATTTTATATGTACCTGGTCTACTTTTTCGCCGAATAGCCTCCAGACAGTGCGTAGTGGATTATTCCTTGCCTTTGATGCGATCAAGTATATTTCTTAACTTTATGATGTATTCATGGATTTTGTTCGATTACTTCGTGCCAGTTCTAGTTATGTTGTTCAGTCATGCTTGGGTAATACACACCATTAAAAGGACTCACTCTTCTAATCACAATATTTTAACAGAAAATGTGGAATCCAATTTAAGAATGAAACGAAAAATTATTCAGTTAGTTATTACAACAGCAATAATGTCATGTCAACAAGCTATATTACACTCATTTGAATGCATATTTGAAATATTAATCACAACTGGAGTCGTGGTGTATACTTATGGTTCTCCCATCGAACAAATGAGTACATTTCTAATATTGTTGGGGTGTATGTCAAATCCATATATTCTTATTTTCAGTACAGGTGCTTTAAGAAGACGTTTTTCAATATCAATTAAGAGTTTAACGGAAAGAATGAGTACTGTTGGAACATTTGGACAACATACAAAATCATCAACTCAATAAATATATGTACACATGTTTCCCAATTCAACTCAATGCTTGATATGCAATTATGATCCTTTCGTGGAATTATTATTATTATTATTATTATTATTATTATTATTATTATTATTATTATTATTATTATTATTATTGAATGTCCCTTCCCAAATAAGGTGATATACGTTGAACCTTGTGCAACCTAATCCTTACTCTGTCTGTACTTTGAATTGTGGAACTGTTTGTAAACGTAACACCCCCATCTGTTAACTAACATATTGAGTTGTGAATAAACTGATGAATTTCGTCTAAAGTTGTTTGTCGTTGTGTTCTAGATACATAAATTAAGTATCATTTGTCTATGAGTTTGCCTTTCTACAGTTACACTGATTTCTCGGTTACTTACGTAATAAATGATGATGAAAACTGAGTGTCTGCAATACTGTTTATCAGGAAATTGGGATCTGTATAATACATGTGTTTGCGTGATATTATATGACCAGCCATAATTGAGATGGTTGTGGTTACTTTTACCCAGTCAATGCACTCGTTATCCAGGTAACCTAGTAAACAATCGTTTTATTTTCATTGCTGTTTTATTTTCAATGTTCCAATGATTTCATGACCTAAATTGTGCATACTAGTGTTTGTATTGTTTCCAATATCGATGTAAAGTGTTTAGTTTTGAGATGAGTCTTGATTGTTGATAAGTGAGTTGTGGATATATTTTCGATTTAGTTAGTTGATAGAAGCCTCCTACTCGCTTTTGGTTCCGTCACTCATGTAGCTAGCTTGAACAAGGATGTAATAAGCATCTTATTATCAGACTCGGACGATCGTAGAACATAACAAAACCTCAAATGCGTTTTATTGAAGTTACTTATTCAGTTGATTATGTAAAGAATAAATTTGGGACGAAATGAACCTGTTGAGCAGTTATGGGGACACATTTGCATGTGTTATTTTTTATGGCTACGGACATCAATTTCTGATCAGAGCACTGTTGACAGTAGACAATCAGAAATAGAGGTTTCCGATTTGTGATCAACTTTCCTGAGTCAAATAATTGTTGTAGAATAAAAAATCTCTATAATATTGAACGTAGTTTGCATACTTGAAATAACACAAATTACACATAGGATTTGGGGTTTTTAATAAGATTCACAGAATGAAAATTTAATATACTAATATCGAATGACTGTTTCAATGAACCTCTTTGTCACCATGAGTAAACAAGCAAAGTAGTATGCATACATTCATTAATTATTTGTAATCTACCTACGACTTGAAGTTGGTGTTATAATCTAAATTTCCATATGTCTTCAAATATATTTGTGTAGCCGATATAATAGGACAAGATATGAAAAACACAAACTGTATTAACTCAGTTCACAGACTGTAAATCAAGATGGGGCTACGTAACAATAGAACAAACAATGCTTAATTCATATGCTATAATTTTAAATGATTTACTTTGCCTGAAACCTGGCCGATTTATGGATTATTAATTCGCATATATAATTGTAGAACCTGCTAAGAAATAATTGAAAAGAATATTATTCGTTCATATAATTGCGTTTTTTTATCTATCGTTTTATACTACTTATCAATATTCAGTAGACCTTCAAATAGTCCTAATTTCAGTTCTAATCATTCCCTTGTTATCAATGACTAAAGTTATTCCGAATTTCAAATAGGTGAAGAAAATGAAAATAGGAGTGCTGAACAAGTGAGAAGATCGGACAGAATTGCAAAAAAACCAAGACTTTGAGATGGTAGAGAAGATTTATAGCTCAGATTGATTATTTAAGTGAAGTTTTGATCTCTGAGCTGGATGGTTTGGTCGTGAAGTTTTTATTGTTCTTCCGAACAACATTATCAGCACAAACTTCACGTGCGAGTGAAATGTTTGAATTTCTCTACACATGACTCACAGCTTGTCCTATAGACCTCGATCTTGATTGACTATCGTTGACCTTTAACCTATCATCATCTACCTCTTTATTTTGATCGTATATCCATTTGATTTAACTCTTGATACTATATTTGTTCAGGATTTATCTGATTGTTTGATAGACTGAATCACTTTCAACATGTTTGTTGATTGCTGATTGACCTGAGTGCCAAGCTTCAAAAAATTTTCCGGTGTTCCTAATGTTTCTTCTATCGAAGATTTCATCACTTTTGCAGCTGAATGTGTGTCAGTAGCTTCTGAAACATTATCGACAAGATGTCCTGAGTTACGGTGAGTAAAGACCAAATTATGGAAGTCAGAATGATAGGTCGTACAAGACCCAGTTTTTTGGGGACCATGTCATGAATGGTTGACAGGTTTTTCGGTAAGTGAATAACTGGAAAGTTCATCACCAACAAAAATTTTCACTATTGTGGAGATAACTGGGGTAATGTTTATGGGCTAATAATCCTTCAAGTCAGTTTTGTCTTCAAATCTGTAACGTGGTGTGATGTACACAGCTTTCTAACAATAAGGGTACATTCCAGTTCCCAGAGAGGAAGAGGGAGAGGGAGAGTAAGAGAGTAAATTGTTTTTGAAGAAGTAATGGAATATTAAGTTTGTCATATTTGATGTATATGAATCAATCCAGTCTACCTCATGACTGTTTGAGACCACAAGGAGGGTTTTAGTTTCTCTAAGTCTCAGATAAGTACAAGAAATGGGTTTTATTGAATTACTAGTCACATACGTGACATTGGAACCAATTTCTTTTAGGAGTTTATTATTATTTCTAAAGATACTACTGAAAATATTTGTGATGGTTTTAGAATGTGTGCTATTATACAAAATGTAGAGGATATCTGTATTCCGAAATGGATTTACACGTTTATTGAAAAACAGAAATAAGTTCCATACTTCTGAGCTACTATTTAAGCCGTGACAACTGACCATTAATTTGATTGAAAGTTATAGTTATTTAAGCAGCTGCAGAGAAAAGATTAGACTCAAAGTAACGTTTCTGAAGGTGTCATAATTTACAACTATGCTGAATCGGTATACATAATGCTTTAGGCTTGACAATCCTGTATGTTTTCAGATACACACAGTAGGCACGAAGTAGTGATTTTATTAAGTGTCATGCGGATCCACAACATTAATAGTTGAAAAGAAGGCATTGGAGTCTGGGTATCTTAACACGGTATCCAGGAGACCCCAGTTTATACGTTTGTAGTCCCTTTATTCAGTGGATTTTGGTTAAGGGAAGGCTATCGTAGAGGTAGATAATAATAAAGAAAGCATCAACAACTATTTTATGATTAACACTTTCAAATTCTCTGTGTACCTGGTACAGTCAATTGTTCACCCCAGTGGGCAAAACTTCTCACCTAGCTCGGTCTAAAGTAATTGAGTTTAAATAAGAACACTCTTACGATACTTACTTACGAATGCCACGTGTGAACGATTGGAAGTATTTCAAGTAATTAGTTCATTTGATAAATTTGCATAGTGTAATTAGTGGACGAAGATGACCAGAACTATGTGATATATCAGCGCAATACATTTCGAACAATCTGATCACACATATATATAAGAACATCTATATTTGGGAAATAAAAGGTTAACTAGACTAGAAGTTGAGGGTAAGAGGAGACAAAGATAATAAAGAAAATAATATGAAAAAAACAATGTGAAAAATCGTCGAGATGGATAATAAGTTAATATTACCAGAATAGGTTTGAGATGAGAATTTTCGTATGGCTAATGCTTCAATTAACTTTAGTATACACGTTTTTACATATTTATGCAATCCACAGAACTTATGGATTTATTACACTCTGCTGCGATATTGGTTCTTTCTTTATTGAAGTCCATGGATGATGGAAAATATATAGAACACTAACAAAGTTTGAGTCATGTTTCTGGATCCTCGGTAAATGTAAACCAACCTGGTAAGAGATGTGTGATAGCTATACATTCGTTAGAAACAGGGTACAAAATCAATTTTGGAATCGAACAAAATACCTTAGAAAGGGCTTGATCCACTCAGAGAATTACTGATAACAGATGTGATATATGCATGGACTAGTAAGAATGACCCAAACAAAAAACATGAGACACAAATAGCTGGTCTTTGGAACTGTTAGACGACAAATAACCGAACCTTATCTCTAACCAACCTATTTACATCATCCTTCGTTTACTAACGATAAAAATGGAATAGTTCAGTGTGTGAACTACCTTGAAAATTGCATCAGGAATTGATGGTTGGTGGCTGCTGAAATCCCTCCATCTACACGAAATTCGAAATGAACGTTTACCAATTTCCACCACATACCGTACAGAACAATTATCCATCTACCAATCACTGGATTAGTCTACTGAGCAGTAGTTTACTTCCTCCTGCTGTGTGAATGGCAAACAAGAATGTAAAAGGTAGTGGATATGTGCACACTGTAAGTATTTGATCCAACCTGTCGTAGAAATATTATATGCGTATTTTGAATCCTCTGAGTGAGATTAATTGATATTGAATATAGTATTAATTATATAGGAAGAAGATGGGTTGTTGATATTAGAAGTCGCCTTTGGATTATCAAACCATTATATGGCATCATTCCATAAGGTCGCTGAATGTTGATATGAAACGTGTTGCAAGTGATAGATTTAGCGGGTCGGGTCTTTGACATATCTGTAATCTATGTTTGGAGATCTCTCTAATTATCATTGATCAATTTTAGTGATAATTATTCAGACAAATTAATCATTAGTCACCCTACTAATCTTGAAATTAACCTAACAAAGTACACTGCATCCGAGACTGCATTCCTCTTCTTCAACTATATTTGCTGTGTTCGTTTAATCAGTAGGGATGAAACAAAGAATAAACAATTGCTTGACGACCTTACAGTAATTAAAAAAAGTAGTTGTTTGGTTTGTTTTGAGTACCTATTTTTTCACCTAGACTGTTTACACATAGAGCCAAAGACAAAATGTTAGTGAGAGAACAACTGGAAACATTACTCGATGACCATTGTTTTAGAATGTAATTTTACTACGCTCTCTCGAC